TTGGAGTGGGTTTTTTTGTTTATTGGTCCATCTACCCCTATTTTACTCCTGACTGTCATACTGTGAACCACCTTTTCTGCTTTTTTTACCCTGCCTGTTTGCCCAAAGTTTGTTGGTCTTTGCCTTTACTGGTTGTTGGGCAGAATTGTCAATGGCATTTTATCTTTTCCAGTACCATAAGGTGTTTCTTTCCCTGTCCTCACCACTCTGTTCCACTCCTTCATTCTCCTCTGACCTTCTTGCCCAATTTCCATGCCTGATTTAGTGGGATATTGCATGATCTCACATGTGCCCTGTTTGAGCGGATGGCTTCTTGCTTTTCATATGATCCTTCTCTCCAGACTTATTTGCTCCTCATTCTTTCCTATGTTATGGATGTTCTCACACCCTCTTACACTGCAATTATATACTCCTCTCCATGGACCAATCTTTCCTTCCTCACACTTTGATCACTCCAAAAAGGTAACCATACTTTTTCTCCTAACTCTCTTTCTTCTGTCTCTTGTCTCTTTCACTATATGGACTTGGTATGGCATCTCTGTCTTGTTTGGACGTTTGGGGTTCCTCATCACAGAACTCTTCATTTTGGGGTCCCTGCCATTATCTTTCTCTACTCTAGGACCCCTCTTCTATGGACCTCTCTCCTGCTACCCTTAATGATTGGGACCATCAACTTCTTCCATTCGTATGTTTGTCTCTGGAGGATGTGGATGCTCACTGGCTCATCTCTGATTGGGACCATCAACTTCTTCCATTCGTATGTTTGTCTCTGGAGGATGTGGATGCTCACTGGCTCATCCCTGATTGGGACCATCAACTTCATCAATTGGTTTGTTTGTCTCTGAATGTGGATGCTCACTGGCCTATCCCCGTTTTTTTCATATTTGATTTATCACCTTCCTCTTTCTTTTGCATCTCATCTTTGCTGATCCTAAGCAAAGAACCTTCAGATGGGCATGTAGATGAATTTCCACATATTATTCTCTCCTTATTGACATCATCTGGATGTTTTGTCTCCTGATGGATTTTGACTTCCACCAGTCACTATTCTTCAATTATTCCACTGTTTTTGAGAAAAATGTGTGCAGATCTCTTTTCAGTTTCATAGAATCCCATCAGGTAACTGGTGTTTCCTCCCAGGATATACTTATTCAAAATCCATTTGAAGCCAGGATAGCAAAAAGCACTCATACCATCTGCCCTGGCTCTATCAGTGCCCACTGCATGATGGGTTGTTTATTTAAAGCTCCTGGATACAACTATGGTAAACAACAGTGTAACAAACATTTATATATATGTTTGACTTGTTTTAATACATTATTCTGTTTGTTTATTTATTGTTGAAATTTATCACTAACAAGTTACAGACATCTACTGTAAAGAATCTGGCCCGTACATAAAACCTTGACAGTATGTATATTTACTCAATTGCCTGATCTAGATTGTACCTATTCCATGGACTGTCATGGAAAAGTCCACAACAGGGAAATTTTCTACCCCCTTCTGTGGCTTGTGCTTGTTGGCTTTTATAAATAGGGTTTTTCATCACCCATTGCACTGTTTTCAGTAAAAGATATATCCAACTGGAGGTCTAATGGGGATCTGGGCACTTTACCAGATCTCCCCAATGTGATTTCTACCCCATCTTTTTGTGTGGAGCATGGGGGACCCTTGCCACTTACCAGTTCCTCACATCTGGGGTGGTTAACCATGAAACCTCCTCACCGATTGGGCATAGCACAACACAGTGATAATGGGGAATGACACTGTCAATGTAGTGCAGGTCACCCCTAAAAGCCATACTGCATAATTCAAATGCCCTAATTTGTTCTCTAGAGTCTGTTCAGTGGAGTTGAGTTGAGCACACACTATATAAAACAATAAAACATGACTAATGTGCCTTATTCCTTCAGCCATATCCTGTTCAGTACAGTTGAGGTTAGCACACACACGCTATATGAAACCATAATACATAAGTATTGTGCCCTCCTTCTGCATCAATTATCTGAACAGTTGAATTGAGATGAGCACACACTGTATGAAACTATACTGCATAACTAGTTCTCTCTTCCTGCAAATAGAATCTGTTCTGTAGATTATGCTCGGTAGAGATGAGGTGAACACACAAGTTACAGTCTGAATGAGTCCCAACCACACTACAGATATTGACTTGCCGACTGCTTGTATGCAAGTTCTTGGACAGCCATGTTCTCATTCTGCCCATCCTTGTGACACGCATTGCTCACTTGCCTTTTCCCATTATATTCTGGGTAAAGAGTATACCCTAGTTGAAACAAGATGCAGTCTTTCATGAATGTACCTCTATAGAGCCACTGCCATTGGTTATCACACTCCATGGGCTTCCCTTTGAGTGCTTTCTGAAGGGATCTCATCTAGGTAAGATTTTGCACTGGCCCCTTCACCAATTCACTCTAGCTTATTTGGGTGTGGATCTGAGGTACCATCTTGGAAGTTAACATTTTCCTAATCTGAAAATGTATTTCCAATAGATACTCACCTTTTTACACATTCCTACCCATCCTCCCTACATTGTTGTCTTGCCTCGTCAAAGAAAAAAGTTATCAGGAGTTCAAGAGCAAGTTCAGGAGTTACTATGCAAGAAGGTTATGTAACCCTCCCATTTGTTGCATGATGATATGTCATCATACACCAGTGCAGTTCACAATAAAACACATGAAATTATATGGGAGTTACCTCATGGCTCGTGGCATGTAAATCTCCTGTTTGTGTTCACTTCTAATTTGACAGCCTGCAATTATTCTGGCAATAAGCAATTTGGATATACAGGAATAATACATAAATCAGTAGTAAACATCTTGTTTTAAATTAAAATTATTTTTTTTTGTTTAATGAGTTACTTCTATTTGTTTGAAACTTTTGGAGGGAGCAAGTAAGTTCACATTAATAATAATATACAGTGTTCCTAATAGTTAAAAAGATTAATTAATTTGTTTTTGTAAAATGTGGTGTAAACTTCTTATTAATTCTAATAAATGCAAGGCATAAAATAATTAAATCAGTGACTGATTTGGTACACATTTGTTGTTGATTTTTTTTGCACATTCTTGAGCATACTTGCAGATATTTAAGCGTTTTAAAAATGCTAAGGTTATTTGCTTAAAACAATAAAACCTTAATTTCATCATATAAAGTATTTTGTTTCGCAGCATAACTACAGAACTTGATGAGATACAAATGCTAATGTGTAAACTTCCGCAAGTCTAATAGTGTGCTTTTATAATTATAGTAATTTGTATGTGTAACTTTAACTGTCTGCTGATCTAACATTTTTTTAATCATAGAAAGAAAATTAAGTAATTTTTTCTTATTTGAATTTGTGAAATGAGTGTGGAAGATTAGTATAATCTCAATGTATAATGTAACACTGTGTCACTCTTCTGTTTAAATAGTTTTACAATATATTTAGCCTATGTTTTATGAATATTCTGCATTACTGATGTATTTTTTGTATTTATGATAAGCTCATGAAGTATAGCTTTAAAATTGGAATGTGCAAAACTAACAGTGTAGTGAAATAATACTTTTAGGTTCTTATTATGAATATTTAGAACAATATACATCAAAATGAAGGATATATATTTCCTCAGATGCAATTATCTACATTACCTCTTTGGTATGAAGAATATGGACTTTCTAAGATACCAGCAGAAATACAGCACAAGTCCAGTCTCATCACTCAGCCTCTAAATCAAGATGTTATCTATTCCTTGAGTGATTACATTGAGAAAGAATATACAGAAATTTGCACAGAACTTAGACATGATATTTCTGAAGAAATGGAGAAGATAAGTTCTTCGGTGTACACGTGCAAGTAAGTTTATCATTTATTAATATTAATATCCTTTTTTTATTTTTTAATTACGTGATCTATCAGATCTCATATTGTTCTAGTTTGTATTAAACAATGAAATAATATTGAACATACAGGGTGTCCTAGAAGTCTGTCAGTTGTACATATTTCAGGAAATAAAATACCCTGATGGCACAGTATACCAAGAATTGATATATGTATGGCTGTTAATGGCACGCAACTTGAATAATAAATAGATTAAAAATAAACTGTGTAATTTTCCCTATGGGTCCAGACTTCTGGGACACCCTGTATATTGTGTTATCCCATCACTACAATCTACATTAACTGACATTATTGTGTGTGAAATAATAAGGGATTTAAATTTAAACTGTGGAATTGACGTGTTTAAATAAAATCTCTTTATAGGCAATTATAATGTACAATTACACCAATATCTACATCAACAGTGAGTCTGAAGTATGAAAAGTGTGAGATTACAAACAACTGTCCCATGCATCCATATTTGTGGGGAAAGAAAGTGTAATTTCTCGTTATTTACATGTAATGTAACATAAAACTTAGACTTATACCTTTTTTTTATTGTTGTTACTGTTTCTCAAAAAAATTCTTCTAAAATATAATTCAAAATCTGTATTTGTTCTGGATAGTGTTATTGGATACGAGGTGATGAACAAAAGACACTCAACTTTTTAAAAATTATGTTTACATTAAAAACAAATTTTTATAAAAAATTGGTTTCATATGAAGAATTCAATTTAAAAGGTTTACTAATAACACAGCTTTGCGATGCTTTTATTGTCTTGAAATTTTTACATGTTCTACAGTAATTCCTGTACGCTGAATCCAAAATTGATATCCATTCTTCCCCGTCACGAACAGATTTTTCACGAAACATCATATGTACTTTTATATAAGTGAATCATTTTCATTGAAATTGGGTCACATTTTAGTATGCATAAAATGTTGACAACCACTAGCTATAGATTTCTCTAGACCAATCATGATGTGAGAGTCTTATCGATTGTCTTAGAACCCACAAGAAATACACTGCTTGTATATATATATATGGTTAACAGGCCACATGACGTGTCATTTCTGGATAGTATTTGCTTGTGCATGCACTTTGACATTATTTTGTTTCTTTTCAATATTACTTATTCGTTGCTATGCGAACAAGAGGTTCTGTAAATGACCCAAACATATTCTGTTATATTTGTAGTCAATTTGTTATAAATTTGATCTAAGTAAGGATTTTTTCTTCCCGATTTGTAAAAAATCCCTACTCGATACATAAAAATAAATATTATTTTCAAAATTTGCATAGCTGAATTATGGAAAATCTGTTATAAAAACCAAAACAATTTTTCTGAAGTTAAAATCGCATGCCTGTGTAATTGATATAAATATAAAATACTTGGATCTGGGCTCATCAAAATCAGTGTGCCTCGAACTAAGAGTAAGAGTAATTTTCATGTTATATTTAATTACTAACCTACTTCTTTAGTTTAAAAAAGAAAAAAATGTATGTGAAGAGAATAGGAATGAAAAAGATTGTAAATTGTATAATAGACACAAAGTAAACTCAAAATAAAGGATGAGCGTATCATACATTATAAAATCAACAACTTAAAAACAAATCACTTGTAATTAGTGGATTGATAACATAGGACATTGTTTCGTGGAAGTTAGGTTCTGTAAAATCACAAAATGTCAGAGTTGCAGTTCTCTTGAAAATACTTAAACTTCATAAGAGAAACTGAAAAATCACTATAGGAACTCTGAGATATAACCTATTGTACACTATTGTATCTACAAGTGAAAATAGAAGAAAATATTAAATTGTATTAAATATACAATAGTGTATCTTAGCTTAAAAAATTAAATATTACTTTGAAAAAATATAAGTATTTTACATACCAAAGATAATAATAATAATAATAGACTTGGTAACAAAATTATTGCAATTAACAACATAACTAATGTTAGTGCATTTAATTGTAAACATAATTTTTATTTAATAAGTCAAATAATAAAATAATTTATTCTAAGTGTAATGATAGATATAATGAAAGTAACTGATATAACTAAAACAGTAGCTGTACCAGGTAGAGAATATTGTCTGCTATACAATAGAAAATGTTGTGATCCAATTAGATGTAATTTTTATATATATAACACGTAATGGCAGTTTCTACTAATATATTTAGACAAACAATAACGATGCATGTTTGGAGATTAACAGATGTTTGTGTTTTTTACTTTATTACTTTCCACTACTACACTGCTTATTTAAACAGTAATTTCAGTGACAGCTACTGGTACTTGATGTAGAAGTAACTAGTACACTGCTTATTTAAACAGTAAATTTAATGACAGCTACCGGTACTTGATGTAGAATTAACTAGTATACTGCTTATTTAAACAGTAATTTCAATGACAGCTACCGGTACTTGATGTAGAATTAACTAGTACACTGCTTATTTAAACAGTAATTTCAATGACAGCTACTGGTACTTGATGTAGAATTAACTAGTACACTGCTACTGGTACTTGATGTAGAATTATGTGAGATGGTGAGGTATTTAGGGTATTGAGGTATTATTTTTATTGATAAATGGTTATTAGTGGATTAAATTTTGAACAGTTAATGTAAGAATGAAGTGTATCTTGGTAGTTAGATATAAATTACAGATTTTATTTGTCGAGTAACAAATGATAAACAGAATGAGTGATAATAAATAGATAATGTTTTTGTATGTACTGAATGCATAGTCTTCAAAAGAAGTTTGGCTGTTGATGAGTATTGAACCACATACATTCTGTAACCACAAAACTGTAATTATTTTATGAGTTTCAACAAAGATTATATATGTGAAAAAAAGATCTGTTTCAAATCCTTAAGTTGTTTTAGCTTTGTGACTTAGAAGTCACTACTTATGGAATATATATAGAGACACATATGTTAGAGAATATATATTATGATCATATATATATCATAAGAAATATTATTTTGTCAGGCTGCCATCAACCATCACCAACTTTTTGGACCAAGTCTTCTCTCCAATATTTGAAACAGTCGAAAGTTATACAATATTTATCTCGGAATACTTGACCAGTTGTATGCATGAATATGGTGGGGAATGGTGCTCATATGATTCTCTCTGTTATAAGATTAGTTATGCATACCAGCAGGAAGGTTTAAAAGGATTGGTCAAGCTTGTATATATGTATTATCCTGATAATATAGATGAAATATCTGAAACGATAAAGGACTACATGATGGGTAAGAAACACAATTATTACTTTTTACTTTTAGTTGTTATGACAAATTTTCCGGTTTCTCCTGTTGTAAATGGTGAAACACTTATATTCCTGATGGGTAAGAAACACAATTATTACTTTTTACTTTTAGTTGTTATGACAAATTTTCCGGTTTCTCCTGTTGTAAATGGTGAAACACTTATATTCCTGATGGGTAAGAAACACAATTATTACTTTTTACTTTTAGTTGTTATGACAAATTTTCCGGTTTCTCCTGTTGTAAATGGTGAAACACTTATATTCCTGATGGGTAAGAAACACAATTATTACTTTTTACTTTTAGTTGTTATGACAAATTTTCCAGTTTCTCCTGTTGTAAATGGTGAAACACTTATATTCCTTTTTGGTAATGTTTCAAAAACTTATAATACATATACACTAAGTGACCACTTTATTAAGCACCCACCCTATTATTAGGTTAACTACTTTTTGCTGTAACTGTAGTTAATGGTGTATCATAGATCTATAGGATACTGAAGATGTCTTGTATATTTTTGGCTCATTTATTGAGAGTATAATCTATAAAAGGTTCATAGGTTTTAACAGAATACTATGGTAGTGAAAGCAGCATTCAAGATTACTTCAAAGATACTGAATCATCATGAAATCTGCTGATTGTATTGGCCAAAAAAGATGAATAAAGGCATCATAATTTCTCTTGAACTGATTTTTGGTAACGTCGATTGTTGAATTATTTTATTTGAAGAAGTATGGTCTTGCCAGACTGTAATTCCAAGAGTTCATATTTCACATCCCTTTGCCATAAAATGGTGTTCCACACTTTAGAACTATGGGTGCATTAAAAAGTGAATGTCAAAATCCAACTGTTTGATTAGAGTATCCCAAGAATTAATGGTAGGTCTAGCTGCTCACCCTCTAATGTATCAGCTCAGAGACAGCTTTTTTTGCCTGAATATTTGAAACAAACGTATTTGAAAATACTTCATCCATTAGGGTAAAAATTCATTGTTATAGAGTAAAAATAATTAAAAACGATTTTTGGTCTATTTTGGATGTTATTTTCCTTTAAAAAGGAACGAAGGCTGCAACCTTCTGCTGAGAATGTTATCTGTACAATTACATCATCTGTAACAGCTTTTGCTACTCAAGGGTATCTTCTGTTTATCTTATATTTCTGTTATTACTATGCATTTGGGTCAAATACCACCCATTAGGACTCATCTCATGTTTTTAGTCACCAGTTGTTCACAGTTTTTGCTTTTAAATCATGCTTTCCTGTTTGTATCTGACAAAACCAACTTTTTTTTTACCAGGTTTTTATCTGATTATGGCAGTTTCTGTAATGTTCCTCAAAAGTAATAAATAAAAAATCATGATCACTGTTGAAGGAATCATTAAGTTCGAACAAAGTCTGATGTCTGTAATAACTCGTACAAAGCCTTTCCAGGAAATATTTTTATTATAGTCTGTTATCAGTGGTTGGTGATCACAGTTTTTCTTAGTGGCAGATGGTTTCCATTTTAATTGCTGTTTACTGTTGGTATGCTTTGATAACAGATATTTTTGAAAAATTAATCCAAGAATTGGTGATTGATAAACATTATCTTCTCATTTCCCTTAGATGTCTTTGCATTTACTTATTATCTTGCTGACTACGCATGGTATGATTATCTCTCCGTGTGGCTCAAGTATTCACCTGACAAAATACATGATTAATAAGTCTTGAATTTGAAGATAGAGTTTTCTTATGTGTTTATGGGTCCTAATCAAGTGGCTAGCACGTTTATCATATGTACTGTTACGACATCAAGGTCACGTGACTAGTATCATGCCATGTCGTTCTCGAACATTCACGTCTGTTCCTTAAACCTCGTGATCCTTCTAGATATAGTGTAGTCTTGTATATATAAGACCGGCCATGAAGCGACGGGGAGGTAATGAGTAATTGAATGTATGCGGATAAAATATTGTTGGCCACGTGAGACGTGAGTTATAGCGCTGTTATAGAGCGACTGTTGAAATTAAGTGTATCGTAAAGTTGTATTCGGAAAGAATAAACCAGTTTTATTTAAGAAAGGACTTGTGTCGCTAAAGTTTCATCGGAACGAATTTACGGAAAATTAACTAACGAACAGAGACGTAACAGTACGTTTATGGGGTAGAGTAAATTTTATTAGCCAGTTCTTTAAGTTTTCTTTCAAAGAAATAAAAGTTTTGAAATTATTATTTGAATAAAATTTCAGATTAATGTTATGACGTTTAAAGAGTCAAACGAGACCTTCTTTCTAAATATATATATATATGTATAGGTAAAGCAAAAAAATAAATTTATTCAGTACTAAATATCATTATTAATAATACTCCTTTATTATTTGTCACTTCAGTTATTTTTAGCATTTTGAGGGACAGTACTATTTAAACAGTTAAGCTATTTGACACGTATGAAAGACTACTTATGATAGCCCCCCTGTAGCACAGCGGTATGTCTGCGGACTTACAACGCTAGAAACCGGGTTTCGATACCCGTGGTGGGCAGAGCACAGATAGCCCACTGTGTAGCTTTGTGCTTAATTTCAAACGAACAAACAAACAATACTTATGATATGGTTTAACACTTAATGTAAGTTTGGATCAATTTGTTTAGAATTTATTTTAGATATAACATGAAATTTGTATAAAATTATAAAGAGAACTAGTTCCTTTAAAGCAGTATTACAAACAAAAAATATAATTTTTGAAATGCATCTCCAAACATAAGAATAAAAGAGATCTGATATAGTAAAAAATTAATATATATATATATATATATATATTGCTATATGTTAATTCTTGTCTGTGCTATTATGTAGGGATAATGTAAATGCCATCCCTACTATCTTGTTTTTAAGGATTTATATAAGCCATTCCTACAGTTACTTCCTTTTTTGAAAAGTTTTTCTTTACTTGTTTACTTGTTTTTTAATGCAGTGTTTCAATTGACATAGGAATGTTGTATTTATAACCAAGTTCTAAATACATTGAGGTTCCAACTGTAATAT